ATATAGAACCTCAAAGCCAAAGTGTCATAGTCATAAATAACTAAGGAGGAAGAATACGTTCCGGATCGACAAGTTTATCCCACTGTACACATGGTTAGGAGCAGAAAAGTAGAGAGGACATTAACATTTTTACACTACACAAAGAAAGAGACTTTAACTTTAATCTTTCTTCGAGAAAACGGGCGAGTGTGAGACAAATAGGCCTGTGGTGGTGGGTAGTGAACGGCTTACGGGCTTGAGCCCCTACCCCCTCCCCACCCACAACTCTATTCCAAAGTAAATGAAAGTTTCTCAATAATGAAATAAGCAGTTGATGAAACCGTTATGACCGCACGCAATGAATGAACACAGAGTGATTAACTTGGCGGCTTGCTCGTTTATCCAATCACTATTGTCACCGCTTACAACTACATGTATAGTAGCCTATATAACCTAACAGCCAATGAAATGTCTTTAGGGCTCAGTAAAGGAAGAGCCCTTTCCCACAGACCGTCCTGAATGAAACTTCTTGTAAAAAGGTAGAAGACTGGGGGAAAATAACACTATACCGAGGGCTCACGCTCTCCTACTATACTATAACTCCTCGCCCTGACAATGGGGTGAAAGTTTACGACAAACTTCCCCCCACTGACACAGATACCTATGCGCTCATCATTGGTTCTTCTTTGTTGGGTGCGTTCAACTTTCTCGACTACACGGCTTAATCAAGCTCATAGAAGTATACGTTTGAAGTGCTGTGAGTGCATGTATTTTTTGTTTGTGTTTGTGCCGCTGAGATTTAACAGTTATAAATCAGGTCGAACTACTTCTAAGGCAACTTTTTCATCACATGAAAATTAATTAGAGGAAATTTGGAGGTGAATCGGCTTCGTCCCCACCACCTCCAATAGTTTAACTAAGAAGAGTCGAGCAAAGAGATGGAAAACAAAGGCAAATCTTCTCATTTGAATGGTTCTCAAAATGCCGTGGCTCACCGTGAGTATAGAAAAATCATCTTATTGCTTGACATTTGGTGGTAAAGAACTGACTGGAAGCAACCTAAGCCCCACCCACCGCCACTGCAAAAGGCTTTCACCCGTGAATCTATACATTTCTTCGTAGGTTATTAACCAAGTAGGCCTACTCGCTATGTGCCTGTTGTTGTTTTTTTGGTTAACTTAAGGATGCACATTATATTTCATTCGCCAACGCTTTGAAGACTCATGTTTTGTGGCACTTAAAAAGTGTCTGCTACATCCTTAAAGTGAGTTAAGCTGTTAATGTCGATCTAACAATACATGATGAGTTACAATGCTCACGACTATAGGAAGAGAGTCCAGAAAGGAGAGGCAACTATTATTAGCTTTGCATCTACATACAGCATGATAATGATAAGATGTATTACTTAGTAGGCCAACAGTATTATATATGTTACGTAAGTATTACAATTTTCCAAATTCACGAAGAGACAGCCATATATTATTATTAAAAATAAAACTGCACGCTTTTCACCCAACTTGCTCTCCGTTTAATTTGTTCGATGTTGCAACTATCGGAGTGTGTGCGTGCGCGCGCGCGCGCGTGTGTGTGTGT